GATAGATAGATAGCAAACAAGCAATAGCACTTAGACTTATATACCAGTTCACAGTGTTTTAGAGCCCTGTCTATGCAGTTTACAGAGTCAGCCTCTTCCACCCAACAATCTGGGTCCTCCTTTGACTGACCTTTCAAGGACAGAAGGCTGAGTCAACCTTGAGCCTGGCGAGATTCAAACTGCCAAAATTGCAGCCGGCAGCCAGCAGAAGTAGCCCGCAGTACTGCACTCTAACCACGGTGCCACCGTGGCTCAAAGATTAGACCTGTCTTGTTTGCAGCCGTATCCCATTTCTGGCAGATGCTCGCTCTGGAATCAAGGAAGACTCTGAACATTTTCATGTGGGGAAAAAGGGCCTCACCTGTAGCGCTGGCGCTCGCCTGCCAGTCGGACTCTGTCATACTGGGCATAAGCCTGGTTGCCTTCCCAGTCCAGAAGCTCCACCCGTAGGGCGTAGGTGGCTTGGTTGGTCAAGAGATGGACAGCCTGGTTCCCCAGCCAGAATTCCCCGGCTGCAGCCCCGAAGCCCTAGGGGGGGGGGGGGGGGAAGAGGAACACAGGTGTGGTCAATGGGAGACCGGAGAGAGGGAGGGAGAGAAGGATAGGGAGAGAGGGAAGGAAGGAGGAGGAGAACGGAAGGAGGGAGGGAGGGTGGAAGGAAGGAAGGAAGGGGAGAGAAGTAGGAGGGAAAGAAGGGGAGAGAGGGCAAGGAAGGAAGCAAAGAGGGAGGGAGGAAGGGAAGAAGGAAGGAAGGAGAGAGAGAGAGGCAAAGAGAGGGAGGGAGGGAGATGGATAGAAAGGGAGATGGATGGGAAATAAAGAAGGGAGGAAGGAATGACAGAGGCAGAGAGAAAAGTGAGGGAGGGAAGAAGATGGAAGGGATGAAGGAGATGGATGGAAGGCACCTCCCTTGCGGGGAGGCAAGGGGGAGGGAGGAAGGAAGAAAGGAAGGAAAAGAGGAAGTCAGGGAGGGAGGGAAAGAAAAGAGAGAGGCAGAGAGGGAGGGAAGGGAAAGGGGAGGGGGGGAGGGGTGGGTGGGTGGAGGAAGGAGAGCAGGTAGGAAGGATGAGAAAGGACAAGAAGGGTGAAAGAGAGGAAGGAGGGAAGGAGGAGGGCAAAAAGAGGAGAGAGGGAGTGAAAAGAAAGAGGGAAGCAAGAAAGAGGGGAGAGGTCAGGAGGAAAGAAGGGGAGAGAGGAGGAAGAGAGGGGAAGCAAAGAGGGGAGGGAGGAAGAGAAGGAAGGAGGAAGAGAAGAGAAGGAGAAAGGGAAGAACAAAGGAGGTGACAGTCTCTTCTTCGAAACCTCCAGCGATGGAGCATCCATAGCTGTGAGAATCAAGCTGCCCCACGGATTGACTGCCCTCCCTGTCCAGAAATTCCTCCGTATTTCCAGGCTGGATTTCCCTCCAATAACCGTCCGGTCATCGCTTCTTCTCCTGCCCTGTAGCGCTTTGGAGAATCAACCCACGCCCTCCTCTCCGTGACAGCACCTCAGGTCTCCCCTTAAGACACGGGGTGCCGTCCCTCTGTGGATGCAGCCCAGGATTGCACCGGCTTTATATATATACTCTATATACCATCATGGCTATGGAGTGCATATTGGAGGAGAGCTGTATGCAATGAAATTTCATTTAATGTGTGCTAATTAGTGCGCATTCAAAGTGACAATAAAGCTATTATACTATACTATACTATACTATACTATACTATACTATACTATATTATTTTTTATTCCATTCTGTTCTATAGTCTGTTCTATTCTATTCTATTCTGTCCTATTCTATTCTATTCCATTCCATTCCATTCCATTCCATTCTTTCATTCATTCCATATTTTCTATTCTATTCTATTCCATTCCATTCCATTCCATTCCATTCTATTCTATTCTATTCTATTCCATTCCACTCTATTCCATTCTTTCATTCATTCCATTATTTTCTATTCTATTCTATTCTATTCTATTCTATCCTATTCTATTCTATTCCATTCCATTCCATTCTCTATTCTATTCTATTCTATTCTATTCTATTCTATTCTATTCTATTCCATTCCATTCCATTCCATTCCATTCCATTCCATTCTTTCATTCATTCCATATTTTCTATTCTATTCTATTCTATTCTATTCTATTCTATTCTATTCTATTCTATTCTATTCTAT